CCCCCCCCCCCCCCCCCCCTCCCTAAAACTCTACAACTGGCCCCGAAGCGGCTAGAGGGCGAAACGGAAGAAATTTTGCAGTGTAGGTAATCAGCGCGTCAATGGGCTACTACCCAAGGATCGGTAGATCAGCTTCAATATGTACAAAGAGTGTTTGGAGCGGCGTAGATGGAAGCACGAACTCAACTGCACCGGAGCAAAAGGCGACCTGGACCTTTAGACAGAAACTGCCACAGGATTTGGAGTGCACAGAACGAAATGCCTTAGAGGAATGGAGACTGCCTACGAATTTGCACCTACAACTACCGTAACATTTCCTCAAAGGGGGACCAAACCATCCTAATTGAGACCAGTAAGAAACTTCGCTCCGACGTCATTGCCCTTCAAGAAATGAAAACTAAGGAAGCAGCCATCGAGAAGACCAACGACGGCTCGCTCTAGGAGCGGAAGGAGGATGAAGGAAACGTCGGAGGCGTCGGATTCTTACTCCACTGTCTGATCGAACATCTGGTCGACTGAACCGAAGTACTCGGCCAACGAGCCCACGAATGGCCATTCTCCACCTACGCATTGACAAGCGCACCACCGTCAGCATTATTAACTGCTATGCGCCAACCTCAACAGCACCCGACGAAGAAAAGGACGCCTCCTATAAGGAGCTGGAGGAGGTTACAAAGAACGAGCATTCATAGTACAAGTACGTTGTTGGGGACTTTAACGCAACCATCCACGAGGAAGGACCGGCTACAGCATGTACCGGACCACACGGAATCGGAAAAGCGGACGGAAACGGAGAACGATTGATGGACTTTTTGAGGCATGCAACCTGTTTCATGGAAACAGCTTTTTCCTCAGAAACGAGGGCCGACGTTGGACTTGGGAGAGCCCCGATTCAGCGACTCGCAATAAAATCGACCACGTTCCCACCAACAGAAAGTTAAGTCTGCTAGACGTCAGTGTCGTAAGCGTTCCGCGCTGGAAGCGACCATAGGCTCGTTGGAGCCAAAGTCCGCTTACGAGCAAAACTTCGATGACGAGATCACTTCCGGCCTCCTCCCACTACCGCAGTATGATATACAAGTGCCATGGAGGTAGCCGTTGCTCAGTACAGATGAGGCACAGGATTCGCAACAAATTAACACTTGCTCGTACAAGGACTTCCACACTGCGCAACGACAATGGCTCTGTCAGCAAGAATGAATTCGAGCAGCAGAATCGATGGAAATGCTCGCCACTCCTCCAACCATGGGCTGCCGTTTATCTTAACTCTGCAGCTAGTGGAGCGTGCTTCGATCAGTAAAGCGTGCCGCATCGATGTGAGAGAGTCGATACAGCGATACAGAGACACCGGACTGAAGGAAGCAGCAGAGGCAAGAGCGAGCCTTAACCGATGTCGTAAGGACCTGAATGACTCTCGCTCCGTCATCACAGTTATGAGAGATGCGATGGGCAGACCGCAAACATCGAGTAAGGAGAACACAAGAGATGGCTCCGCGGATAGAAGAATGGGAGGTAGAAGGCGCCATACGTCAGATGAAGCCGAGAAAGGCACTTGGGCCAAATCGCATCTCAGCGGACTTTTTCAGGTCCACGTCCTACACTGTCATCAAACAACTCACCAAGCGCTATAACAAGTACCTGGACGCTCATAGGATTCCGGACCAGTGGGAGATATCAAAAACAATTTCTCTGTTCAGAGAAGGCAAGCGCGACCGAATGAAAAACTACCACCCTGTCGCCCTTCTCTCGTAACCGTGCATGCTGTTTACTGAGACTATTCTAAACAGACTTTACAGGCAACTGGATGACTACCCGCCAGTCGAACAAGCCGGTTTTTGCAAGGCCTTCTGTTGTATGGATCATATTTCCTTTTCTGCTTTATCGACTATGCGAAGGCATTCGACAGTATGGAGCTCAACTCTGTCTGGGACGCATTGCACCATGCGGGAGTCGACCCATGCTACATCAACCTGGAACATTGCAATACAGACACTTTCCTAATCTTTTCTATTCTCGTAGCAAATGCTACTGTAATCAGTGTCAAAGAGTCGTCGATTGCTGTGACTCACCGACCGACTTATCGCCGTTCGGCACTTTATAGTTGCGCGTTTGCCGTAGGTTCAGCTTGAAAAGATGGATCTTCTCAAAATATAAGGGCTTTATCTTATAAAGGGTTAGCCAGAATGCGAGCATTCTCTCAAAACATAGGCTCTTTGTTTACCGTAATAACCTCATTTTTCAGATTATGTTGTCCTACGCAAGCTCAAACGGCCGCACAAAAGAAGGCGACTTCAGCAAAGCTCCAGCTTCTGTGCTACCGTTCGTCTCGTTCACCATCGTCCACGCTGCAGCGACCAACAACATCTGCCGAACAATATCGAGGACAACATTCTCGCGTCAGGGCAATCAACCAGCTGATCTATATTAGTAAAATTCGTCAAAAATAAATACCTTAACAACCGCCTTTGCCCAAACATTGTCGTACTACCGTGGCAACTCAGGAAGAGTTTACTGGCGAGCAACCTTCAACAAAACTCCTAAAACCGGGGATGTTGAAAATTTTTCTATCAATAACTCTGATTTTCTATAACAATTTCACTCTCTTACTGCCATTACTCTTGAAAGAAAGATGAGGTTAGGTACGATTGATATCTTCTCGCACGCATCTTGACGCGAAGTGATCTCAGTCATACCTAAGTTTGCACACCCTTCGAAACGAACTGGCGGATACGTCACCCATCACACATTAAGGAGCCACACTAATGTTCACCGATTCCTATGTGATAGGTGGCAATGAGGAACATCAAAGAGGCTGCTCAACTCGTATTGGACAGGAAAATACGAGCTGGACTTCCGACACTACGGTATTGCCCGCACTATGCTAAGCATCTGAGACACTAATGTTGATTCGCGCACAAAATGCTCTGGAGCGAACGCTGCTGAAGATCAACGGCGCAGTGCAGAAGTTTCTCATCCTCCGCAGTGCAGAAATACGTTCAATGACTGGGGAAATGACTTCGGGGAAATGATTGACTAGTTCTGGTCTCAAACCGCTGCTCAGGACCGTCAAAAATGGAGGGAAGCGTATGCTCGCCGCTGAGGATTATCAGCTGACAACGAGCGTCCAATTATTCAAGTAAGTATTATGTACATTTGTTCATGATTGTACTGTACTTTTCTTTTCAACCAACCTTTTCTTTCCTGTGTCTTCAATAGCCAAATTGCTAATACAATCACTAAATGATGTGGCCTAACTATCTCGACTACTTCTGGATTATGCGATAAGACAGCTCATTCGTGTGCCTGATCTGCATTCAGAGTTGAAGTTTCTCTGATTTGGTATTGCTACCATGTAAACAAGCAGCCAACTGGTTCCTTCATTTGAAGTCAAACTGTGCATACGATACTGTAAAACAAGTAACTACAGAATTCCGACCAGAATTTGCGTAGGTTGCTTCGATTACGTGAATATTGCAACCAACTTTCCCATTGTACTTCCTTAGTTTTGCAATCATTTCGTACTTTTGAGCCCGTTCCGTGAATTTTGCTACTAATTTTGCGAATGTTGCGTCCAGTTCGGTGAATGGAGGCAAGATATGCGTATTCAGTCATGAAACGCTTTATTCAGGTCCCTGACACGCAGATCTTCTATTATACATTAAAGGCACAGTTCATGATAATTTTGGGTAACCCAAGTTATGACGAAAAATAGAAGATAAGATGGAAAATAATGCGTTGGAGGTGAAGGAACTACGTGGATCGGTGTTTCCGGAGTGAAAAAAGACTTCGAAAAATCGTTAAGAAGGGGGCTGGACGAGAATGAGACTAGAAGAATGAAGAAGTGTGGGGCTTTGGACGAGCTACGCACAGTGCGTCATTGCGTTCGTGTGGGTCCTGGTGCAAATAACGACTATGGTGAGCAAAAATTCAATAACTCATAAGCAAAAGTAGGCAAAAAATCCTAGTTACAGCAAAAATAGCTCACCTTTTGCACCCTCTTGCGGTAGGAAATCAAAGAAGGGATTGTGGAAGCAAAAAAAATAACAGAGGAAAAAAGAATGGGAGAAAAACATCGCCTCATCACTCGGTTATCAGCTGATTGTGTGTGGGTCTTAGAACGAATAATAGCAATCTGTATTGCCTCGGCACTCGTCTGACGTGATATCGATCGCGAGGCGGGAAAGCCACTCAAGACAGCAACAGGGCTTCCACTATGCCCTGAACGAAGACATTTTGGGAGCGAGAGGGTCCTTCTCACCACCCATGGAGGCCACTGAGTATTCCTTAGGATAAGAACTCAGTAGTCATTTTGATCGTGAATCGTGCCTTTAACGGAGTTGAGTTCAGCGTCTAAATGTGAGCGAGATAAGGCCGATCGCTAAGAGAAACGCTAGCAGTGCATGTGGCGACAGTGCAATAGGAGAGAAACATCTCCATCTGCCTCCGCGAACAGTCAGTAACCCGATCTGCTATGCGACGAGGCACGGAACATTTTTGCAAGATTTTCAATGCTATTTCTAAATCTCGAGGAGTAAGGCAACAGGAAGGCTGTCATGGTGACGGCCATGTTCGGTCCCACAAATTTAGGGAGCTGAGGGTTAGATGCGAGAACAGAGGTCACTGCGATTTGTTTCTGCCATCATAGCCGCCATTTCTAAATTTCATCGAGAGTATATCCTCAAAGTGGAAGAGTTAGATGCAACGCGCGAGACGGAAAACAAATCGTGTTCGCCAGAGCTGATAGATTCTCCTAAAACACGTCAATGACTGAGATTGAGTTCAGGTAAAAGCTGACTGTATTTAGTTGAAGACTGGAATCTTCAGGAGAATGATAAGCTACACGCTTTGCTTGGGTCGAGAAGCAATCACTGATTGGTATTAGTGGCGGTACTGGTACTTTAGGGTAATTATTCCATGAAATTCACTTCCTGAGTGGGTTTGTTGAGATTTCTGCTTGTGCGAAAGGAATAGAAAGGCATATGAAAGATCCAGTTCTGAATACAAAGTTCTGAAAGCAATGGCGCAAAGTTATGGATGAATGAGGTTTACGTTTAAAATGAGGTTCACATTTACGAAACAGGCTGCAGAACTTGTGAAACATAAAGAACAAACTACGAAATCGCTTGCTATATATGCGAAATGGACGCAATCACGAGTTAAGATCGAAAATCCTTCGATAGCACAGTTTACGATGTGAATGATTTTTGAGATCTCTTCATTTTGTGAACCTTTGGCTCCCAACTATGGCCTAGAGAGCGCTGTCGCGTCTAAAAACGGTAAGATAGGGCGTAATTAGGGCTACAAAACTGGCATAGTCGACGTATACACCCAAGGCGGACGGAATCTTAAGCGTTGTAAATGCTGTAGAGGTTGCTCCATTTCCACGGAATCCTCACCCACACGCAAGCCACCCGCTGCAGCCAGCTTATGCAATGACGCATACATTTGAATAGCTCGTCTAGAATCGATTCCATGTAACTTCTGTCGACACACTCTCGTTTAACCCCTAATTTTACTATTTTTTCAAAGTCTTACATTTCTCTACATACACCGATCTTCGCATTCTTTTCCTCTTTTTTTGCACTACTCTGGACTATTATTTCCATCATTCGTCAAAAACTCGAAAGCCCAAAATTGCCATTAGGTTGGACCAAGTTTACAACTTTTGCTCGACTGCACCTTTGTTTCACACAAGCATTGCACTCAGATTCATCATAAGCATGAAGTACGATCCGCGGAAGTGGTCTCTGAAGAGCTCGTAAAATGGTATCCATGATGACAAAGAGTGGTGGTTGAGAAAAGCTCTAATCTTGGCAAGGCTATCAATAAATTTTATAAGCCTTTTCTATAAAACCTGCTAATAGGATGATAAATAGGCTCTTATCAACTTATGCTTCGGCGTTATCGCTTTCTTCAGAGTCTGGGCAAGTTGAGATTATCGCCATCCATCCCTCATTCAACAATTAAATCTCAGAGACCTGTTCCCAAGATTTAATGTTCTCGAAAGGGCATGATAACACTAAACACATTCAACCCACGTCAAGAAACAACCGGTCGTTTGGACGATCGCAGCTGAACTGACCCATAGGGACTTG